TGAGCCACGTAACTGGTGACACCATATATTAGAAATTTATATGTTGCCTGTTTGGATCCACTCTGGGCGGCTGATAACAAAAGAATAAACCAAACAGGCCTTAAAAATAGTTTATAGGGATTTGTACATTTTGAACACCCCAAGTTATCTTTATTTATTTATTTTATATCCCGCCTTTCTCCCAATGGGGACCCAAAGTGGCTTACATCGTTTTCCTCTCCCCCATGTTATCCTCACAACACCTGGTGAGGCAGATTAGGCTGAAAGTATGTGACTGGCGCAAGGTCAGCCAAGGAAGCTTCCATGGCATGAGTGGAATTCCAACCTGGGTCTCCCAGATCCTGGTCCAACACAAGCCACTGCACCATGCTTGGCTCTATATCGTGCTAACTGTGGGTAGGATTGTCAATATTTGTATGACAACCCTTTACCAAAAACAAAGCCCTCTGTGCAACAGGAACAAATGTAGATAAGTTCCTAAAAAATTCTTATCTGCTACATGGCCAGTGAACTATTAGTCCAGTAGTAGAGGGCAAAGGTCATCTGCCATCATATGACTAAAGGGTACATTGGTGCCAGTGTTCCCTCTAAGCTGAGTTAGTGTGAGCTAGCTCACAGTTTTTTAGCCTCCGGCTCAAACATTTTTTGTCTTCGCTCAGGAAGGATGGCTCCAGAGCAAACTAATTTATGCAGTAGCCAAATTGCTCGCTCACAACTTTAATGCCAGGAGCTCACAAAGTTTTGCTCACAAGACTCCACAGCTTAGAGGGAGCATTGATTGGTGCTGACCTTCATTAGCAGCGTTTTTAACCATGATGTGGTACCACATTTGCATGGAAGAGGGAACTTGCTTCCCCAGGAGTTGGGAGTGGGAGGAAGGAACATGTCCCTATAGCAGGTTCTTGTTCTTATAGCTAGTTCCTTTATCCCTGAATGCAGTTTAGAGAGAAGATGGCATTTCATCTGCTTTTTGATCAGTTTTAGGATTTATTGGTCTGTGTGCAGAAGGGTATGCTGCCACACAAACTGACATTATCACTGAAATCTGTGGGGGCCCTGGGCACAACTAACTTCGTCTCGGTTGCGGACAATGCATGCTTTCCCCAATTCTTACAGATGATATCTGATGGATGAGGGTAATAAATAAAATTACCTTTTGAAGAAAATCTGGAATATGTTCTACCAATATATTTTTTTCTACTTTTGCTGTGGTTCTTAAATCCGCACTTAATTTTCATGCAGTTCAGATAGTACTTACTGAATTGTTTCCATTGCTCGGAATATTAGGATTCACAATGACTTACAGAGAACTGTAGACCTCTGTCAAAAAGCTGAAGCAGCTGGAGTATCCTGGATTACAGTCCATGGGAGAAATGCAGAAGAGAGGCATCAGCCGGTTCACTATGATGCAATTAAAATAATCAAGCAAAGTGTGTCTGTACCAGTTGTGGCCAATGGTGACATGAAATCTTTTAAAGATGTGGAGAATGTTCATCAAATAACAGGAGCAGACGGTAAGGACAAACCTTAGGCTGAGCTCTCCCACTCGCTCCTCCATAATGAGAAATGCAAATTGTGCATGCATATCTTATCTCTAGCATTAAACTTTAGTTGGCCTTGAGAAATGAAATTTGAAACTACATGGGTTTGATGTATTATAAAATTTACTTCATTGTTTTTATTGTATAATCCAGTGTTATTGTTTTGTTTATTGTATGTATTACAGTGGTCTCTATTACACTGAGTTCCAAATTCTGTAATCCGTTGTGAGTCTCAGTGAAAAAGGCAGTAAATAAATAATAAAAGGGTACAACACAAAGCTTTAATATATGTGTTAATTTAAAGAAATTATTTGTTTCCATTGTATAGGTGTCATGGTTGCTAGGGGGCTCTTAGCCAATCCAGCCATGTTTGCAGGATATGAAGAAACACCTCTAAAGTGCATCCAGGACTGGGTTAATATTGCTCTTGAACATGGGACTCCTTTTATGTGCTTTCATCACCATTTGATGTACATGATGGAAAGAATTACTTCAAAGCAAGAAAAGAAAATTTTCAATGTTTTATCAAGCACATCTGCTGTTGTAGACTACCTTAGAGAAAACTATGGACTGCAGTAACAGGGTTTTTTTTACTTGTGTGATAATTGTACTTTTGTTCTAAAACAGCTTTGTAAGAGCAAGTTTTTAATATAATATATATGAAATGAAATTTCAAATTTCTCTTCTCTGGATGTCTCGAACATTTGTATTCACAAAGTTTAACACATTCTTAATTGTGATGCTTTAATGAGATTCAGTGTTGGACATGTCAGTCAATAATTTATTATGGTCATGGACCAGCAGAATAAAACATGCATTAGCAGTGTTGGACATGTTTAAGAAGACTAGTATCAAATCCCTACAAGTATAGGAATTGGTCACCAACTATTTCTCTTACATAGCTTGCATTCATTTCAATTGGGCATAGGTAAGACAGACTGGTATTGTAAACAACAATTGTTCTGGATTGATTCCAGAGTCATTGCTACTGCAGTCAGTTCTGAGTGAGTCACTACAGATGCCTCTCAATTTGGTGATGAGCACACAGTTAATACCGCAGGAAATGTTATTGCATACACCTGCACTTGTATCAAGTATCTAGCATATGGACTGCGTGGGCCCACACTTGCTCTCATCAGTCATATAGATCAGGGGTGTCGAACTCATTTGTTATGAGGGCCGGATTTGACCGTGTTGGGCCGGGCCATGTGTGTCATAAAATGTAATGTCAGGTAGCGGAGATATAAACGTTATAAAGGACACAAACACAAAGGGTTTTTTTTACTTAAAATAAAAACATGCGTAAAACATTAGCACACTTGCAATATTTTGTTTATTGCTTTTAATTATTGCATCAAAATGTCTGTGCTGTTGCAATCTTGAGTATACTGTTCAGGTGTGTATCTGTAAGCTGCAAACCTACGATGATGCAACAGCAGCAGCAGAACTGGAAGAAGCAGCAGAAGACAGCCAGTGCCACTGTGGGCCTGACAGAAGCCCTCCGGGGGTCTGATGTAGCCCCCGGGCCACATGTTTGACACCCCTGATATAAATGGATGTGGAATCATTCTGTACTCAAAAGGGCCATGCAGATGTTCCTTAGCAGAATCCTGATTGTATCTGTAAACAGCTGTTTTTAAAAGTAGGTAGTTAAAATGTGTTCAGGGATAAATAGTGTACATACAGTAGTTTTGAATATGCACCATTATTTTTTCAGCATAAAATGGGCTTTTAGTAGATTTAGAAACAATAACCTGTCTCGTATTCAGCAACCAAGGGTGTGGTTTTCCTATCCAGAAGTACTATGTGTTAAATGAACTCATTATCCCTTAGGGACTAATTATTCCAAAAGAAGTCATGTGAAGAAAAAATAAGCATGAGAAAAAAGTTACTTGTGTGAGAAATTCTTAAATTAATTGCATTTAGAAATGTCCTCACCTCTTTTGCCAATGATCTTTATATTTTAATTCAAGATGCACATTGTTTAAAGGAAGCACTTGGCTAGTCAAACTCCAGAAAGGGTTACAATGCATGTCTGTATTGAAATGGGCACTTTGTGTTCATTCCGCAAAGTTGCTTCCCAGTTATTTCCCCCCATAATGGCCCTACTGTCTTAGAGCCTCTGAGGCAAGATTAGCTCTGCTTCTGCTGTCCACCTACAGGGAAACGGACCCTGTGAAATGCCCCCAACGCAATTATGCAAATTGCATTCGTGGTAAATACAGTTGTAGGAAGAGCACTGTTTGAACCAGTGTCAGCCTAGGAGCCAGTGTCAGCCTAGGATCTGGAAAACCCAGGTTCAGATTCCATTCTACCATGGAAGCTTGCTGCGTGACCAGTCACACACAGGGTGCGGTCAGATGGCGTGCTGGGAGCGGGTTAAACTGCTCCGGCCCCATGTGGTGTTTTTTTAACCTGGAGAATCGTGATCACACTCACCTCCTTGTTCCGGATCGCTGCGCAGCCACATCGCTCCCTGCTGTCCACACGCATTGGTGTTGTTGTTTTCCTCTCAGTTTGGGCATGCGCACAGGCACCCATCTGTAGAACTAAAATTTTCATGGGTGTGCAGAACACGATTTCCTCTTCAACCTGACTACTGTAACACTTCCCTTTAAACTTTAAAGGAACACTTCCCTTTAAACGTTTATCCTGAAAATGGCCTCCGTGAGATCCTGAACTTGGCTAAAGGCTAAAACTAGGCACCATTTAAACATTATTTTTAATAACGCGGTGGTGGACCTCTGCCTATGTGCACACCGACAACGCTTTTTTAAAAATGGTGGGCGAAAAGCGGAAGCCTCGGGCAGCTTTCGAGCGGGGAGGGAGTTTAAACCGGAAGTGGCTCGACACCGGAGGAGTGATCACACGGGGGGAAATGCAGCTGGAACTGGAGAATCAGGAAAACACCACTTGGGGACCTGGTATCAAAATACTCCGGGTTAAAGCAGTTTTGAGCGGGAAAACGACGGCTGGGGATGGGAGGCAGATGTTGACCATGTGATTGCACAGATAAAATCCGTTTCTGAGGTGGGCCGAAACGGCCCGTCTGACCGCACCCACACTCAACCTAACCTTCACAGGATTGTTTAGTGGATAAAATGGAGGAGAGGAGAATGATATAAGTCTGAGTATTGGGGGAGAAGGCCAAGTATAAATGAAATAAATAAAGATTAGGTAACACAAATTACCTGCTTAAATACACTGTAACCACCCAATTGTACTTGCAATTGAAAGTGTAGCTCAAAAGATAAAATGGCAGATTTTCTCAAACCTTTTCAATGGGTGGAGTGAAATAAACCACAGGGTCATTAAAGGGAGGCAGTCTTGTGCTTCTACAGGTATAATTAAGAAGGGTGCAAACATTGTGTCAACAGAAACATGAGTGGGAGGGCATCCAGTCAAAAAGACTGGCAGCTTGACCTCCTTTCATAGCTTTCTTTTTAAAGACGTATCTGCCCTGATCCACATTTCAATTCAAAAATCCATCTTCAACATGCCCACAATGGTCTAGTCCTCAAAAAGGTTTGCCAAGGACTTATTTCAGCATAAGGACTGTAGCTGAATCCTCATCAAGTGAGGGAACAAGGAGGTTTCAGTCCCATTTCAGAGCATGCAAGGTAAGCCTGGTGGGAAACTGTGTTTGGGGCAGGAGTCCCAGATGTTAGGGATAGAAAGGGAGAATGAAAAGATTTTTGAAGATGCAGCTAAAGGTGAAAGATGGAGATGCTGAGATTATAGGATAAAGTTTGAGTGTAAAACAAATAGCACTGTGCCATATGCAGCTTGCAGCTCTCAGTGGTAACTTGACCTGACAAGTTTTTTTAAAAAATACTTCCTTTATATCCTGCCTTTCTTCCCAATGGAGGCCCAGAGAAACTTACATTGTTTTCCTCTCCTTCATTTTTTCATCACAACAGCCATGTGAGGTAGATTAGGCTGAGAGTTTGTGACTGAACCAAGGTCACCCAGTACGTTTCCATGGCATGAGTGGGCATTTGAACTTGGACTGTCCAGATCCTAGGCCATCACTTTAGCCACGACACCACACTAGTTTATTGTTCAACAGATTACTGGGATAATGTATATGTAACACTTTGAGCAACTAAAAAGCATGGTACAACCCAAAAACATACAATTTGTTCTTTTTGCTTGCTAGTTGTGCAACACTGGCAGTACGGTAAAGGTAGAAAAGTATGCTTCTCAAGACTATCTGAATCCAATTTTTCCCCCTGTTTTAGTTACTGTGAGGTTGGAATCTTGAGGTCTCTGGCTGAATAACTATTGGCATTTGGATCATCTTAAACTAGTTATGTACTTAATTATAATCCACCTTTCCCACTAAGACACAAGACTGATTCCAAAAAAAATAATGCACTACGAGGTAAGCGATCACAGTACAGGTGCCTACCACATTTACCGCTCATTTCACCAGATGCCTTCAAATGCCAGTAAAAGGCAAATAAAATTTGTAACAATGTGTCTAATATCTCAATCCCCAACATCACCATTTACAAGGACCAGAAGGTAGGTGGTAAGAAAGCCCTCTGCCTGAGACCCTGGGGAACAGCTGCTAATATGAGTAGGCAATACTGGCTGTGATAAGACCATTGGTCTGATTCAGTATAAAGCAGCGTCCTATGTTCTTCATATGTTCATATATTATCCTATGTTTAATACTTCTGACAGTGTACTTTTTAATTTCAACAAAAATCAACATTAGGGCTGCTTCCAAAATTGTCCCTAAGTGCATGGAAAATCCAAAAGAGGATACACAATCAGTCTTGTGTATTACACAATGAAGTGTTACAGTGTCTGTGCAACATTTAGCAGTGCCCCTTTACTACACTGTACGTTGAACAGTGATCTGGGTGCAGGGCAGAGCACACATACCTACTTCGCTACAGAAAAGACTTAAAAGCATGATGAATCAGTCTTGGTTCTTAGATTTCCAGAACACTGGAAAGGCGGAGGCCACTTCTTCACCCTAGCAGGGCTCCTATCTCTTTAACACCTTACCAGGAAAGAAAGAAAAAATAGCAGAAAAAAGCTATGCCCACAAGGTCCTGCTACCAACCCCCCCCCCAAAAAAAAAAACATACACGACCAAGCAACAGAGGAAACAGAGAAATACTATTGGCGGGAGAAAAGAGGGTGATATTCAGGACCTGACACCGGGGCAGCCATTCAACATTCCTGCGGCCGCGGCGCTGTATCTCTGCCTCAAACGTGAGTCAGGCCTTTAGAACAGGGCTACACGGAAGAGTTGGAGACCTCTTCCAAACCCCCCCTTCAAGGAAACCCGGCCACCCTCCTTTGCAAGGGGCGCGCGATCCTCTGCACGCATATTTACCGCCTGCTGAATAAAACAGGACTTACTTCTGAGTAAGCATAAATAAAGGCTTGCACTGGCAGCGCTTTAACTGTCGCTCTCTTGAGGGAGGATCCGAAGCCTCTCATTTGCTGTTACTACCGCCCCCCCCCCCCCCCCCCCCCAGCTGTTGCCGCCATCAAGGCGAACTGTGTGCCCCGGAGGAAGTGTGAGATCTCACGAAGGCCAGTCCACCCGCGCGGGGGGGCTGGGGATATGAAATTTAGCTAAGACCCGGAACGCTTCTCAACGCATCCGGTGAGGAAGGAAAACGAGTCCTTGTGAGGCTCTAGCACGGGAGGAAAAGTTCCCGTCAGGCCCCGCCTTTACGCGGAAACTGCAGCAAATGCTCCCCTCAAGAATTGCGCGCCGGGCTGGGGAAGAGTTGAGGGGTGCGTTTTGCCTTAAGCAGCTGATTCGGGGAGCCAAGTCTTTCTCTTTCGGCAAAAAGGGGTTGGGTAGAGGAAGAGCAACCCGCCCCATCCAGTGGGGGCTGTGGTGGTCGCTTGTATACTTGCGTTGCGTGAGAGAGAAGCATTAGTCTTTCGAAAGGCTTCCCTTCCCGCACTGTTGTGGAAGACACGAGGCTGAGGAGAGCAGGCACAGCCTCCCCCCCCCCCCCCCCCCCCTTCTCGTGGTCTTGTCCTTTTTCACTTGCTTCTACTTGTTCGTCTAGGAATACTGAAAACATTGGCCTGGTAGTGTCTATATTATTTCCTCTCATGTCTACTGTGTATTTCAAGCATTCTAAAATATTCTTCCTCCAGCCATTTTAAATGCAGTCAGGCTTCTCTGTCAGCCTGCTAACAGGATGGTTTGTTTTCTCTAAGAGACCCCATTGCTTAACATGGCCCCTTCCTCCTAAGCCTCTCTGTTTGAAACCCTGGTGAACTAATGGTGTTTTCCTCCTCTGCAGATCCTTCAAAGGTAAAAATGACTTTTCAGTGGACAGCGGTCGCAGTCTTTCTATATGCTGAAATAGCAATACTGTTGCTACTCTGTTTACCCTATATTTCTCCCCTGAGGTAAGAATATGCCGTGTATCAAATGACTATCTTTTTGAGGAGAAAATGCCATTGTAGAAATTCTAGTCACACAACAGTCTTGAGTACTGGTGGACATTGGTTGGATTTTGTGGAGACCTGTTATAAACTGATCAGTGTTAAACGGCTAGGCATTTTGGGTTCTTTGCTTTTGTCTAGGACTCTTTTAAGCTATTATTCTATTAAGCTATTATCTGTATTGTCTTCTCTTCAGTTTATTTTGTGTGCCACAAATTGCCTTGTTGGATGGGAGATGCAACTGATTTGTACCAAACTCACTTTCCAAAACCAGCATGCTGTTGTCATCAGTGGGGTCATCAGATTAGGATCTGGAAGACCCGGATTTGAATCTCTACCATGGGTGACCCTGGGGCAGCCATGCGCTGTCAGCCTAACCTACCTTACAGGGTGGCTGTGAGAATAAAATGGAGAGGAAAACTGTTTTTGATTCCCACTGGAAAGAAAAGTGGGGCAGAAATAATATAGCCACTTCCAGCAGATCTCTGAAGGGGTGGCATATGTATTGCCTAATAAGTAACTGAAATCTCCTCAGGACCAATGTTCCCTCTAAGCTGTGAGGTCTTGTGAGCAAAAATTCTACTTTGTGAGCTACCGGCATTAAAGTTGTGAGCAAAAGGTTTGGCTGCTGGATAAACTAGTTTGCTCTGGAGCCCTCCTTCCTGAGCCAAGACAAAAATGTGTGAGCCAGAGGCTCAAAAACTGTGAGCTAGCTCACATGAACTCAGCTTAGAGGGAACACTGCTCAGGACTGAGTTATAGTCTTCTAAATCCATTGAAGTCTGTGTAGGGTGTACTGCAAAATACCACTGGTGGTAATAGAAACTAGTGGTTTTTCCCCTTACTGAATTTTAAAATGCAATAATAAAAGAAGAAACATTAAACTATAAGAGGATAATCAGGAAAATCCATCTGTCATACAATAGCAAGGTTACCACAATTGTTATTCCACTGGAGATTAACAGGATTAGTTATGGGTGGTTGCAAAGATTTAAGGGCACCTCTGTCTTCAGAAGAAGGGGCATTGATTTTCACTGATTTCTTGTCTTGCTGCAAAACCATACTGTTCCTGATGGCCTGCTGACCCACAGAACAAAATGGGAGGGGTGTCATTGGGCTGCAGCAGGAGTAAGAAAGGGAAATTGTCTCGCTCTGTGAGGTCCAAACCATGAATGGATTTTGTTGGATACAAATCAATGAATTGTATTCACTCCACTCAGCTACACATAGAAGCTTCCTCTGCCATAAATATTAATTTTATTTATTAATTAAATTTATATCCCGCCCTCCCCAAACGGGCTCAGGGCGGCTAACAAAGAGGCATATGCCATGATTGAACAACTAAAAACAGAATAAAACACTCCATCACAACAAAGTGCCAGTGCTCAAGGTATTAATTCTTATCAGTCCAAGATGGGGTTCCGTTGACCAACCTAACCCGTCAGCATAAGTTCCGGATAATACTATTGTCCTTTCATGACCAGTTCTTCAGGCTGTCTGGTCGTCTTCCCAGAGCCAGCTCACATCCAGAGCGAATCCACCGTCAAAGATGGGAGTTTGGTGGTGGTACAGTGGTGGCGGCGGCTCCTATGCAAAAGCCTGGCGGAAGAGCTCCGTCTTGCAGGCCTTGCAGAACTGCGCAAGGTCCCACAGGGCCCGGATCTCCCCTGGGAGCTTGTTCCACCAGACAGGAGCCGCCACCGAGAAAGCCCTGGCCAACTTTGCAGCCAACTTGATGTCCTTGGGGCCCGGAACAACCAATAGGTGTTGCGCCCCTGACCGTAGTGCTCTTGGGGGAACATATGGGGAAAGGCAGTCCCTTAGGTAAGCTGGACCCTGGCCATCAAGGGCTTTATAGGTAAGAACCAGCACTTTGAAGCGAATCCGGTACGCTATAGGCAGCCAGTGCAGCGCCTCCAGCACTGCCTGGATGTGGTCCCGCCTCGTGAGACCCATCAACAGCCTGGCTGCCACATTCTGCACTAGCTGCAGCCTCAAGGTGACCATCGCATGGATCACGGTGGCCAAGTCCTCGCGGTCAAGGAAAGGAACCAACTGCCGCGCCAGCCGAAGATGGTAAAAGGCTGACTTGGCAGTAGATGCCACCTGGGCCTCCATCGTTAATAAGGAGTCCAGGAGCACTCCCAAACTCCTAACTCGTGACACTGGCACCAAAGGCGCCCCATCGAAGGCCAGGAGAGGGAGCCCCAACCCCGAACCGACCTAGGCCCATGACCTCCGTCTTCGCTGGGTTTAGTTTCAACCAACTCAGTCTGAGACAACTAGCCACCGCTTGCAATGCCCGATGAAGGTCATCTGGGTCAGAGTTCGACCGGCCGCCCAGCATCAGATGGAGCTGGGTGTCATCCGCATATTGATTACACCCAAGCCCAAAACTCCGGGCAATCTGGGCAAGGGGGCGCATATGGATGTTAAATAACATCGGGGACAGTACCGCCCCCCGAGGCACCCCACACTCAAGAGGGTGCCTCCGGGACTGCTGATCCCCTATCACCACCCTCTGCCCCCGACCTTGCAGGAGCGAGGCAAACCATTGGAAGGCAAGCCCCTGAATCTCCACGTCGGCGAGATGGTGGGCCAGCAGCTGATGGTCGACCGTATCAAACGTGGCCGACAGATCTAACAACAGAAATGCCGCCACACCACCTCGGTCCAGATGCCTATGGAGGTCGTCAGTCAGGGTGACCAATGCCATCTCCGTCCCATGACCCAGGCGAAAGCCGGACTGGAAGGGATCTAAGACCGAAGCATCCTCCAAAAAGCTCTGTAACTGTAACGCCACCGCCCTCTCTATAAGTTTGCCCAAATAGGGCAAATTGGACACCAGCCATTAGTTGGCCAATTTGGTCAGGTCCAAAGATGGCTTTTTTAAGAGGGGGCGGACCATCGCCTCCTTGAGTGCTCTGGGGAACCGTCCCTCCAAGAGGGACTTGTTAATAATCTCCCGCAGAGCACCTTGAAACCCCTTGTGACCCGCTTTAATGAGCCAGGAGGGGCACGGATCAAGGTTGCATGTGGTTGGGCGCACAGATACGAGCAATCTGTCAAGTTCGTCCAGGCTGAGTGGGCTAAAACATTCTAAACCCGGAACCGAAGGCGCACAATGGGCCTCGAGTTCGCTCACTGTCTCAATTGTGGCGGGGAGGTTGTGGCGGAGCGCCAAGACTTTATCTGCGAAATAGCTCGCAAAAGCCTCACAGCCGATATCCAATTCCCTATCGTTTCGTCTGCCCTGAGGCAGGTCTGTCAGTGACCGAATCATACTAAATAATTGGGCTGGGCGTGAGCTAGCAGATGCCATCGAGGCCGCATAGAAATCTTTCTTCGCAGCCTTGCCTGCCGTCTCATAGGCTTTCATAAGCATCCTATAAGATGCTCTTGACGCCTCGTGAGTACGGCGCCACCGTCTCTCTAGTCGTCTCAGCCCTCGTTTCAGCTGCCGCAATTCCTGGGTATACCAGGGAGCGCACCTAGAGCGAGTACGGAGAGGACACCTGGGAGCGATCTCGTTGATGGCTGTGAAGAGCCGAACATGCCAGCCCTCCACTAACTCATCCAACGAGCCACCAGGGGGCCTCGGATCCCGCATAGCCATCTGGAGCCGCAACGGGTCCATTTGACTCCGCGGGCGAGCATAAATCTGCTGGGAGAGATGAGTAGAGTGGTAGGATTAAAGGTAGTCTCCTCTAACTGAGTTAATAAAAATAACTGGTTTTCTGTATGATAGTGTTCTTCTGTAAGGAATGGACACTCTTTTAACATGGTGGTCTTCCCTGAGTTCCACAATGGTTAACTACTCCTGTGGTACTTGTTTGTAAAATGCTCCCACCAGAACTTTAACAAGGCAAGATCATGGTTCAAATGGATCTAGGGTAACATTGGGATAATTGGCTGGCATAGTTGAATTTTATAGCAGAAGGTATATCACGTAGAGAAGGAAGGAAGATCGTACAGAATTTTAAGGTCTCTAATGTACGTCTTCAGCAGAACAAAACAACAGCTTTCAGAAATCAGAGATTGTGTTGTTAGTCCTTAAGGTCTTCAGAAGGAACACTAATTGGGATATGGATGGAAGAAGGGAGCAGATATATCTCTGCCTCTTGTTCCAGTCAGTGTTAATAAGTCATACGAATGGATACCTACTTGGTTTCAGCTTCAGTCAGAATGTTTTAGCCACAACCCCGGTGATTAACCACAGTTATAGTAAGCTTAAATATTAATGTCTACTTACTGAATTGTTGCTTGTTTGCTGTTTATATAGTGAATGAATACACTCTTATCTAAAACAGGAGTCCAGTGGCACCTTAAAGACTAACACAAACATATTCCACCATAGGCTTTCATGAGTCAGAGCTCGCTTCATTGCATGCATAAGAGTATAAATCCACCAGGCCAGGTTTATATATACAAGGGAAAGGTGTGTGTGTGTGTGGAAATGTTACAAATGTTCAAAACAAGATCCAATTCATAGAGATCTACTCCCTCCACAAGGGTTTGAAAACTTCCAACTGTTGCTAGTTAACATGAAACAAAGGGAAACTAAAGGAAGTTACATGGTGTAGCTGAAGCCATTAAGGGGTGCCATATGCTATCACATATAATTCATGAGAGAATACAAGTCCTTGGCTGAGAGAAAGAGTGTTAAACTTTTTTTTAATCAAAGCTCATTTGGCAGTTTCCCATTTAACATTCTTTTGTAGGTAACAATGACTTTTTAGGTCAGCAGCAGAATTCCCTGATCTGTGTCATGTGGCAGGAAAATGAGGTTCATAAGTTAAAGGAAACAAAGTCTATTTACTTGTGGTTGAAGAAGAGAGAGATTAGAGTGGTAGGAAGAAAAAGGATTCCAAGAAAAGAGAAGGGGACTGTTTCTGAAACTGGATGATCTGGTGGGCTATGCCTTACAATTCTAGTTTGGCTGCTTCCACACAGAGGTTTTGCTCCAGTTCTACCCTCCTTCAAAACTGCAGTGATTTTGGTGGGGGCTTCCATGTGACATTGTTGTATAGTAACCTGCTTGCTATGATGACCTCACTCACTTCCTCAGAGGCAAGATTTTCCCTCTGTTTTTCTCTCCCTTTCTGACTGAACAGCCCTATTTATTGATTTTCTTCTTTTCTGAAGAACTATGGCTGTCCCACGTCAGAGAAAGACCCTGCCATCTGTTGTACCTGGTCATCCTATTAGGAGCAAGTTCTCTTTCCACCCACCCTCAAGTCCTCGTGAAATAACCAGAACTGTCCATGATCTAGTCCAACAGCCATTTTCTTACTTTGCTGGTGATCAGTAAATAAGACACACAAAGAATTAAAAGCAAACAACTTTTGATAGCTTTGGACAAACGTAATTATGCAAAACCTTTTAAAGCAAAGATGAATGTATGTATGTGAGAGGGATACCTGCCCAGGACTATAGGGCCATTACTTGTGTTTCTCAGTGACAGAAGGGCTTGTGCACACTGATACTTGGAAATAAGTCCTCCTGATTTTGTTCAGTCTTATTTCTAAGTATGTATGCAGAAAACGGCAGTTTTGGAAGTACTTGGCAAACAGATACTTGAAATCTATTGGAGTACCTGGATTAATCTCTGAAGAAGCAACCCTACAAAGACAGTTTTGCTAACAAGATAATTGAAGGTGTTATTTTAAATAACACATTAACGGATTTTTGTCTTCAGGATAAGAGGATCTAAAAGCAGTAAATGAGCCTTGTTAAAGCTGGATTCTAAAGCCACCCTGCTGATCTCATTAGATAGAAGCAGGATTGGCAGATCCCAACTCAGAACAATGCTCACCCTGTGGATTTCAATGACTGCCGCAGTAATGTGACAGGAAAAACTGTGTGTGGTGAAATTCTCCCTTATGTGCAATTCTCACAGATGTAGGAGCTTATTAGGGGTGTGCTTTCGGCATAAACTGAGCCAGAAAAATACCTGGAAAACACCCTACCTGTATTTTGGGAGGACTTTTAAAGCCAGTTATAGAATGGGGCTGAATTTTGGCTATCTGAAATGGCCAAGCCCCAAATATCCTGCCAGACAACTGAAGCTAAAGGGCATTTAAAGTGATTGCAGTCCCTTTAAACATTTTCCAGGTGAACTCACACTGAGAAGATGTTTAAAGGGATAGTAGGCACATTGATGAACAAAAACTATTGAGGCAGACTCAGCATGGGTTCTGTAAGGGAGGATCTTTTCTCACTAACCTGTTAGTGTTCTTTGAGGGAGTGAACAAACATGTGGACAAGGGGGACCCAATAGATGTTGTTTACCTTGACTTCCAGAAAGCTTTTGATAAAGTTCCTCATTAAAGGCTCCTAAGTAAGCTCAATAATCACGGGATAAAAGGACAAGTCCTCTTGTGGATCAAAAACTGGCTAATTAATAGGAAACAGAGTGAGTATAAATGGGAAATTTTCTCAGTGGTGGGTGGTAAGCAGTGGGGTACTACAGGGATCAGTACTCGGTCCGATACTTTTTAACTTGTTTGTTAATGATTTGGAGTTGGGAGTTAACAGTGAAGTGGCTAAATTTGCAGATGACATGAAGTTGTTCAGGGTGGTGAGAACCAGGGAGGATTGTAAGGCACTCCAAAGGGATTTGTCGAGGATGGGCGAGTGGCAAATGGGGTTCAGTGTGGCCAAGTGCAAAGTGATGCACATTGGGGCCAAAAATCCTAACTATAAATACACATTGATGGGTCCGAACTGGTAGAGACTGACCAATAGAGACCAAGAGAGTCGTAGCAGATAACTCACTGAAAATGTCGAGACAGTGTGTGACTGCAATAAAAAAGGCCAATGCTATGCTGGGGATTATTAGGAAGGGAATTGAAAACAAATCAGCCAGTATCATAATGCCCCTGTATAAATCAGTGGTGCGACCTCATTTGGAGTACTGTGTACAGTTCTGGTCACCATACCTCAAAAAGGTTATTATAGCATTGGAAAAAGTGCAGAAAGGAGCAACTCGAATGATAAAGGGGTTGGAACACTTTCCCTATGAAGAAAGGTTAAAGCGCTTAGGGCTCTAGCTTGGAGAAATGATGGTTGAGGGGTGTCATGATCGAGGTTTATAAGATTATGCATGGGATAGAGCAGGTAGAGAAAGAGGTACTTTTCTCCCTTTCTCACAATACAAGAATTTGTGGGCACTCAATGAAATTGCTGAGCAGTCAGGTTAGAACAGATAAAAGGAAATACTTCTTCACCCAAAGAGAGCTTAACACATGGAATTCACTGCCACAGGAGGTGGTGGCGGCTACAAGCATGGACGGCTTCAAGAGGGAATTAGATAAACATGGAGCAGAGGTCCATCAGTGGCTATTAGCCACAAGGTATACGTCTGGGGCAAGGGAAGCACTGTATTCTTGGTGCTTGGGGGGGGCAACAGTGGGAGGGCTTCTAGTGCCCTGGCCCCACTGCTGGACCTCCTGGTGGCACCTGGTATTTTTGGCCACTGTGTGACAGAGTGTTGGACTGGATGTTCTTATTTGTTATGAAGGCCAGATCTGACATAAATGTCACTTTGTTGAGCCAGGCCAGGTGTGCCATAAAACATAATGCCAGGTACTGGAGATATAAACTGTATAAAGGACAGCAGCTGGTAAGCTCCGAGTTGGTGTATCCTCACTTCAAGGCCCCACGGGCTGGGAGGGGATGCAGAGGAAAACCCACATGGGCAGAGTGGCAAGACAGCACTGCAGCGCTGGGCAGATGCTCCCATGATGCTTGACTGCTGCAGACATTCTGCTGTGCTGAAGCCAAAATGGAGTGGCTTTGCCCCCTCCCCCAGCATTCCTTCCCTTGCACCAGTTTCTCACGGGCCACATAAGAGCCCTGGGCGGGCTGGTTCCGGCCCCCCGAGCCTTATGTTTGACACCCCTGCCCTAGAGCTTACTCCGCAGCCCTGAGTCCAGCAGCCCTGTCTGAACCATATTTAGAGAATTTATGTATACCTAAAGGTACAAGCAAGTTGCACTTTAGTATCATGCTGTACGACATACAAAAGAGCTTCTTTTAAAAATGGAAATTTAAAATATTTTTGTTCTTTTTCATCTGTTAAATCTCTTTGAAATGTGCATTTCTGTTTTACAGATGGCAGAAGATTTTTATGTTTTCCTTATGGGGTAAAATTGCGAACTACTGGAACAAGGCGTTTCTTGCCATTATAGTTCTATTAATTGTTTTATTTCTTGGTAAGTAAGAAATATGTTTTGTGTGTGTTCTCATTAAAATGCATTGGATGCATGATAGTGGTGAAAGAGAAGTCTTGTTTATTAAATGCAGATTATTATTATTATTATAAGGTTAACAAAAGTAAAATATATTATAAGATAAAGGTTTCCCTTGCTCAAAAGCTAGTTGAATCTGACACTAGGGGCGGTGCTCATCTCCAAGCCAAAGAACCAGCACTGTCTGAAGACATTTCCATGGTCATGTGGCCAGCATGACTAAATGCCGAGGTGCACGGAACACTGTTACCTTCCCACCAAAGCGGTACCTATTTATCTACTTGCAATTTCTTGCTTTCGAACTGATAGGTTGGCAGGAGCTGGGGTCAGAGACGGGGAGTTCACTCTGTCATGCAGCACTAGGGTTTTGAACTGCCAAACTACAGACCTTCCGGTCTGCAGCTCAGCGTCTTAACCTCTGAGCCATATATTATATTATATATTATAATATATTATGAAATACATTTAATTCAAGGCTGATAACACTTTACTAATATCTCATTAGATCACAGCACATCTTTAAGATTTAAAATGGGGAAAACTCTGAAGTGGCAGGAAGTATTTTTTAGGAGAATCAGCAGATGGCACTGTATCTCTCAGTTGAGCTAATATCAAAAGGAAAAGTGTTGTGTCCTGGAGTTTGTGACAATGAGTTTCTTTAGAGAATTGCATTAAGCTGTTTCTTGTTCTTTTGGGGGGGGGGTGTTGGGGGGTGGAGGTGGCACTACCATGACATGTTTAGGCTACTGCTAAATATTAAGTAAAATGTACTCTTTTATGTATTACAGTGTTAGGCCATTTCTGTTGTAACATGATGTGCTGCTCAGGTGTTTGTAACTGTCTACTAAATATGAGATTGGCAAGTCTATGTTATGCGAAAGCTTTTTGCAGGATTACTTCTTGTTTCAGAGTGTGTGTTACACAACAAATCTATTTATTTGTTTCATTTATAGATTGCCTTTCTCATTGAGAGCCATAATTTTTCAATTCAATCTTTACCAGAGTTACTCCCACCTAAGCTGACTGAATTTAGTGGACTTTGGCAAGAGTAACTGTGGATAGGATTCTGTTGTTGGTTTCTAATGATCAAAAAGCAACAGTTTAATTTTTTTACTATTCATTTTGAACAATTGTTTCAAAATTCCCCAATTTTTGTTGCTGTTTTCATTTTTCTAACATTATATGCAGCCTACTGTGTATCTTACGCCTGTGTTTTTATTCACCAGCTAATTTTCAAAGTCCTGATTTCTATATACCCCCATATTCTATTTTTTCTGACCCTTCTGCCACAACACAATTCACCTACAGTTTACACACTATTTTTTCTGTGTGGAAGCTTTGCATATAATATTGAACTAACAGGAAAAGGGGGGCACTGAAAAATAACTTTAACTTTTTTAATGCTTATAGATGCAGTAAGAGAAGTGAGAAAATACTCAAATGTTCATATAGCTGAAAAAAGTACACAGACAACTGCCAGTGCATATGATCACATTCAAATGAAACTCTTCAGGTCACAACGAAATCTTTACATCTCAGGATTCTCCCTGTTTCTTTGGCTGTAAGTATAAAGTTCAGACATTTGTATCACATTTTTCTGCCCAATCAGGGCCCTCAAGGCAGCAAACAACAATTAAAAAGGCATTAAATCAACTTTAAAAACAACGTGCATGTATTAAAAATGGACAAGAAAGAGGGTAAAAATCTTCACCTACTGGTGGAAAGCAATGATTGGGGGGATAGATGAATCTCCCTGGGGAGGGAATTCCATAGTTTTGGTGCCACAACTAAGAAGTCCCTTATGTAATACTGAAGTCTGTTTTATGTGCCTCGTATTAAATTCTGTCCAGAATGACAACAAATTGCACTGAGAAGCTGTTTTGGTTCTTGGCTGGCAAGCATTCTGGGTTGGGTCCAATTAACCATGGATGGAACAATTTCACAGAACAGTTCTCTTCCACTTCCCTTTATAACCTCCTGCAGTACCCTCAAATAGACTAGGATGCAACACAAACCCTGTTCACATGTTACAGTGAATGCATGTATATCCTGCATGTACATATGTACATCTGTTCTTAAGAAAGAGCCAAAGCACATTCACTTTACAAATGAATCCAGTACCACCACACATATTCAGTTGTTCATGTGTTGAACATACCATGTGAATTACTCGATAATGAAAAACCAAGTGTATACTAAGATGTACATGCATTCACTATAATTTGTGCACAGGACTGCAGAGCCTCTAGCAAGAATAGAGAATTAGCAGTAATTCTTCCAGCAATTCTTGCAGTAGTTCTTTTTCAATTCGAGAAGAGCTTGAAAAAGAGGGGAAAGATGGCAGCCAGTTTCCCTTGTCTTCCGAGGTTTCATGAGACTGCAGAAGGCACAAGGTGGAACTGGTTGTTTGAAAACACCCCCAAGAAAAATTCTCTGCTCATTGAAGCCTATTTGTATGTTACTAAAGCACTGCTATCCTGGCTTTTGACCTGCAAAACTACAACATACAGTTAATTTACAGTACACTACAATGATATAACACCCAATTTGTAGTTGTTAACAACTTTTCAAAGATAGTAAAAATGTAGACTGCCAATAAATTAAACATACCCAACTTAAGTCTGCAAAATTAGCAACTTAACTGTATCAAAACTGTCTAAAACAAAGTGATCTTTACCGATTAATTACCAAACAAGCCTTGCAGGGGAAGGAATTCCTTATCCTCCCACATAGCCCAGGATTCTGTTATCTTGCCACTTATCAAATATGTAAAAGTAGTGGGGGTGGGGGTGGAGCAGGGCTTCTTCAGGCGACGTCTTTGGCTAGAGCAGGCAGTCTTTGATGTACCTTGTTCCCAAGTCATGTAGGGGTTTCATGATCTATATTACCACTTTGCACTGAGGCCAGAAACAAACTGGGAGCTATCAAAGATGGAGCAAAACAGGCATAATACATTCAAACCCTGTGGTAGTATAGATGTTCATATCGTTGGGCCTGTTAAAGTTTTTTCAAACTTCTGAAATAATCGACCTGCAGCTATTGCATGTATAACTGTTGTTAAAATCAGACTTTTCCAGAAAAGGTCACAGTTAGTATATTGGCTTAAGCTGATAAAAGACACTCCCAGCAACAGCGATGACCTTGGACACCCAGGAGAAAGGCCAGATCCAGAAGAATATCAAAACAGTATACTGGAGTTTTCAGGGAAATAAAACCTGTTCTGGTACTGTATTTCCAGCAGCATCTGTGCCACCCCTTACAGATGCTCTTTTAAAAAGTGCTCTGGGCAGCCCTGACCTGGATAGCCCAGGTGAGCCTGATCTCGTCAGCTCTCGGAAGCTAAGCAAGGCCAACCCCAGCAAGTACTTGGAAGGGAGACCTCCGAGGAATACCGGGGCTAGAACCACAGAGGCAGGGAATAGTTAAGCCACCTCTCTGAAACGTCCAAGCCCCACTAGGGGTTGCCAGAAGTCATCCATGACTTCCAGGCATACACACATACACGCAAAATGCTCACCAAAAAGGGGGGCTCTAGGCTGTGATAAGTTCCACTTTCTCTCTAGCTGCCACCCCTGCTGTTTTATTCAAAGAGGATTACATACCCCCCAGTGCATCAGTCCCCAGTGCTGGGTGAATCCTGTAAGCCTTTCCTCCCAAGGTAAGAGGGCTTCCATGTCCTGGGAGCCATGCTGGGAGCCGGAGCTTGGTACTGCTAGTCCTCTGATAGCGGAGTGGCATTTTTGTGGATGGACACTGGAGTGTCTCAGGAAGGGGTTGAGGGCCTGCATATGGCAATAGGGTCTGAGTTTGATTTAATGAGCTATGGCTGCAGTCCTAAGAACCCTTTCCTGGGGGTAAACTTCACTGAATAAAATGGGACTGACTTCTCAGTAGACTTGCTTAGGGTTGCTCCCTATGTCATTGCTGTATGAACTATACAAAAACCATATACAATAGCTTATTCAGCAATAAACAAATGATAGAGAATGATGAATGGTGATAAATGAGAATATATAATTTCATTAACTTAATTTTAAATTTGTTTGAATTTGTTTCTTGAACAATCTAGGCCTCTGTTCAGCTGCAATATGTAATGTTATCTATGCTTGTTGTTCAGTCGCACAGTCGAGTCCGACTCTTCGCGACCCCATGGACCACATCACACCAGGCCCTCCTGTCCTCCGTCGTCCTCTGGAGTTTGCTCAACTTCATGTTCGTTGCCTCAATAACACTGTCTAACCATCTCATCCTTTGCCATCCCCTTCTTCTTTTACCTTCAGTCTTTCCCAGCATCAGGGTCTTCTCCAGTGAGTGCTCCCTTCTCATTTGGTGGCCAAAGTATTTGAGCTTCAGCTTCAGTATCTGGCCTTCCAGGGAACAGTCAGGGTTGATTTCTTTTAGGATTGACTAATTTGATGTCGTTGCAGTCCAAGGGACTCTCATTGATCTTAGCCAAAAGACTGAGAAGCACAGAAAAATGTAAAATGTAGTGTGTTTTGACATACCATCTTTGTCTTTAACACTATCTAAGAGTTATTTACTAAGACTTCATTTTACCAAAACATTTATTTAATAAAACATTAAAAATTTATAAAATAATTATACGGCTTTTTCAGTGGTGGCACTCACATTTGGAATGTTCTCCCCCATGAGGTTTGTCTGATACCTGCCTTACTTTCTTTTAGGTGCCAGACTAAAACATTTCTTTTTACCTAGACTTTTAACTAATGGGTTTTATCTTTCAAAGGTTTAATGGTCCGTGTCTGGCCTAGGGATCATTTAATCTACATAATTTTAGGCTGCTTAGTGTGTATTTGGAAAGGTGGCATATAGATTTTCTAAATAAATAAAATAATTGTTTTTTATGGATATCCTACTTTGTTCTGTTAGGAGCTGCGGTGACTCAAGTGGTTAAGATGCTGAACTGCAGGCTGTGGAAGGTCAGTAGTTCAGCAGTTTGAGACCCGGGTGCCGCATGACGGAGTGAGCTCCCGTCTCTAGTTCCAGCTCCTGCCAACCTAGTAGTTCGAAAGCAAGAAATTGCAAGCAGATAAATAGGTACCACTTCGGGGGGAAGGTAACAGCGTTCCGTGTGCCTTGGTGTTTAGTCATGCCGGCCACATGACCACGGATACGTCTTCGGACAGCGCTGGCTCTTCGGCTTTGAAACAGAGATGAGCACCGCAACCCTAGAGTCGGATTCGACTGGCTTTCGAGCAAGGGAACCTTTACCTTTACCTTTACTTTGTTCTGTTAGCTCATGGCTTTTCTGTCTCCCACAGTGTACTACGGCGTACCGTTTCCCTCATCACTCTGCTGGCAAAAGAAATGGGAGCTCAGGTAGCTCTGGAAATTCAAGTAGCAAACACCAGTGATGCTGCTAGGAAATATCTGGAAGAGAATGAGAAATTACAGCGGGTCTGTTGCACTGCTGTTTTTGTTGTTGATGGTGAAGTTATTTATGTAATTGCTGAAATGCCCAGGGATCTAGGCAGGCCTGGTGGGATTTTTGACTTATTTTCATTATAACAGAGATCTTCCCCCCCCTTGATTTCAAAAGCAGTTTATTGTGTGATATAATATTGGGGGTGGAGGCAGCTAATGTTCAAGAAGCATAAGCTCCAAGTCCTTTGGATGCACAGGGCTAGTTGTGAAGCCTTTTAGATTCCATCCTAGAAAGCTAAGAGAAACCCAGCAAACCTTGAATAGCTGACAGATAATGGTTTGTGTGCATGATGCAAGTAATTAAAAAGTACTATGGTGCACAATTTATATAGAATAAGGATATATATATATGTGTGTGTGTGTGTGTGTGAGAGAGAGAGAGAGAGAGAGAGAGAGAGAGAGAGAGAGAGAGAGAACTTATACCATTTTAATAAGTAAATTAGTATCGTTAACTGTGCATGTTCAATATCAATGCCTGATTTTAAGCAAGTAAGAAGCTAGTCTTACTTTTCACTAGCAGGAATGTGTGCAAACCACTTCTTAAAAACAAACAAGAGCAACACCAAAGAATCAAAAACTTAGAAAGCAAACTTATTACCATTATTGATAAAATGGTACAGCTTTTTCATATATAATTGTAAGCACTGTGTAAACATTGCAAGACGCATTTGACGCTTTATTACATGTGATTTTTCATGGTAACATAATTTGCTTTTATTATTTGATAGAAAAATTTGGACTCGTACAACCTTTGGATTGTGGGGATGTATTTTTTGAAGGAAAATTCTTTTAAGAGTCATAAGACTCATTTAAGAGTGATAAATCATATCTGCAGGGGATTACTTCCAAATTTAAGAGTGCTAAATCATATCTGCAGGGGATTACTTCCAATGACTCCCTATTGCTAACTCTCAGCAGGAGGGTGCATTGGACCCAACCTATTGTTTTCCATGAAGTAGATCCTAATATAACATGACCTGGTGTGCACTGACTTGGATAGGCCTGATCTCATTAGATCTTGGAAAGTTTAGCAGGGTAAGCCCTGGTTAGTACTTGGATAGGAGGCCACTGAGAAAGTCTAGGATTGCTATGCAGAGACAGGCAGAGATCTACCTCTGTTTGTGTCCTTACTTGAAACCCCATGAGGGGTCAGCATAAGTTGGCTGCAATTTGACTTGAAAGCAAAAAGAGAAATTTTAGTTCTTTGACCATCCCAGAATTTGTTTGGTCCTCCCACCTCTTATTTTTAAGGCTGCTGTAGCAAAGGAAAGATGAATGGTTTCGATTAGTACCTCACTCACTCTGAAATAACCTTCCTTGTGTTCCACAAGTATATTTTTTCATGTAGCATCTACAGTTGCCATGTGGGGTATAAATCAAAATAAATAAATGCAGTCAAATAAGCTTGGTCCCAACCTCTGAGGACTAATGTTTACCTACACATAAAAGTTACAGGATGAACACAGTTTCCTTTCCTAATCTCAAAGTGTTGTAGAACTTGATATGCACCTGCAGTAGGCTGTGCTTGAGGATCTGTGCTTGCACCAATGAAACAGATGGTGCTAGCTCGGGGAGTGGTAATCACTTGTTTAGTGAGGCAGAGGGAAAAGAGCTCCTGGATTCCCAGTCTTCACTGCCACAACACATAGTTAGATAAAAACTGTGTCCATAGTCCCAAATCATCAAGCAAAGCCATGCATGCTGTTATGTTGAATACAGATAAACATCCATGCAGCATTCTTCTGTGTGCAGGACCCACTTCAGGAGGAGCACATCGATAAGAGGGATGCAGCATGCAGTTCAGTTATTTAATATACACTGTGCAACAGTGTAAATGGTATTTTATAGTGTAATAAATTGCCTGCCTGAAGGAGTTTATAATTTGAAGCTTGACAGTAAAAAGAAAATTAAAGGATGGGAAAGACTTGGGTAACCAGGGATGAATGGGAATATATGTAGCTATGCTTGAATGCAAGACAATATGTAGAACTGACCTCTGATCTTTTCAGCTGTAAAATTATCATCAAACCCCTAACTCAGTGTTTCTGACTCTGCCTGCTTAACTTCTATGCTGCTAACATGTTTATAACTCTAGAAACTGAGTTACTGTTGAATGATTGTTAACTTGTTGAACAGTAAAGACCTTTATTGGGCACCAGATAAAACCTTGTAGGTGCTGAGGAAATGAGAACTTTTGGTCTGAGACAGGAGGGATGTGTATATTCTGAGCAGATGAGTGCACTCCAGTTTCATCCGCAATAGCCTGAAAAAGAGACAGAGTGCAATTTTGGTTTTATCTGTAATTCACAGTTTTAAATTGGTCTTACTTGGTACTTGAAATGGTAATAAACTATTAATATGCATTTTTTTCTTTTTTTTGTTAGTCCTTAATGGAAAGAAGAAATTGTGTAAATGACCAGTTGATTGAAGTAACAAATAAAAAATTAAAGCAGGAAGCTGAAAAACTGAAAGCAGAAATAAAGAAAAGTTCAATGGGTATGTTGTCCTTTGCCCCCAGTGGCTTTTAATGCTGTAAGGAAACTTTTTTCTGTGAGTTTAGGGGAATTAATGTTGCTTTCTGCATTATAGTAAATGTCTTAATATCTCATTCTACGCTTCACTTCAACCATTCCAGTGTAAATGTGGCTTATGCTTCTGTGACTAAAGCTAGATCACAAATGGGCAGTTCTGCTTAAAAAATAAGGTGGAAGTTTTTGTTCACTGTGACAAGGTATGTACTGTTGATAGTTTCTAACTACTTGGGATCTCTTGATGAAATAACACTGAGATAAGAGCTTCTTCCTGGATTGAGTGTGTTCGTTCTAGATCTTACAAGTCTGTGATGTTTCCAAGCTTCTACCTGGCTGAGGTAATTCTTGTAAAGAATAAGGCTGCTTATGACCTTGTGAGGCCCAGATGACTAAAATGTCATTCTTTGACTGTTCAGAAAACTATGCAGTCAGTACATGCCCAAGACAAATCTTATCTACTGTTAAATTTCAGAGACCCAAATATTGACACTGAAAGCACACAATGGGAGAGGTAGCCAAAGGTCTCCCACCAGCGTTAGGGGTTTATCCTCTGTGCACACATACACACATGCCCAGACTGCAGGGGCATAAAGAAGGCACATATGGACAACCCGGGGGGGGGGGAGAAACCCCATATCCTCAGTAGCAGAGGCATATATGTAGGTAGGTACCCAGGTGCTAGGGTCATCTCAGCTTAAGCTGAACATTGGTTGCTTCCCTCTAGCCTCCCTACAGGTTGCACCATGACTTGGTACTCCTTCCACCCATGTGGAGGGCAAGCAGTGCTTCAGTCTTTTATTAACTGGCTCTAGTATCATCCTGATTGAAAACAGGTCAACTGTTTTACTGCACAGTCCTTTTACCTCAAAGAGTCTCATGTCCATTCTACACATGTCCAATAAATCCTGCGGCTTTATTTATGCAACACAAAATGAGACAAATTAGGCAACATTAACATCATATAAAGATAGATCTAAACAGCCTCCTTCCAGCAGCATGCTTCTGTTGCACCATGCTCTCACCTGTACCTGACACTGCATCAACCTGTATCTTCATGGGTTTAAGGAAAGACATCCCCAGATGAGGAAACAGGACAGCTGCTGTCGGGTCCTATCAGTTAGTACAGTCACATGTAAGTTAGGAGGCAAGCTGATGTAAACTTAGTGGAGTAGCCATGAATATGAGATATGAAAGTGCTGGAGTCAAAATCTTGCTTATTTGATGATCTTAATGGAAGGCACTAAGCTCTGAAGCTCAGTTTCCCATATACAGTATCAGGATAACACTGGCTTGTAACAGTGAAATCTGGAAAAAGAGAAGATATATCGATATAGGCACTTGGAATACATATATATATACACACACACACACAAACATACTTGGTATATATATATATATATACACATATATACTTGGAATACATATATATATATAGGCACTTGGAATACATTATATAAGCGCTTATTAGTAATTTTAATGCCTCAGTTCATCTTCTGTAGGTTCATTTTCATGTTTATTTTATACACTAGGGCATGCACTTTTTAAAATAAAGTAATGCACCCAAGTTTTGATAGTATATTTCTGTATGCATAAGATGTTTCCAGAAAGGTGATGATATTTGGAATGAAGAGGGGGAAATCAAAAGCAGTCAATGTTCATTGGCTCTTATAAACAGATGTGGTTTGTATACATAATAAATGTAACAAGAACATTGTTTTCTTGTATCTGCTCTTTACTTTAGGAAGACTTTTTATCATGATTGGGGTGGTATGTAGTAATTTGACCTCTAATAATGAATGTATTCTATGTTCAGAATTATTTCACTAGTAGTTTTAGAAAATCTGAAAGAAAACAGAAGACATTTATTTTTAAAATGTTCCTAAGTATTGGTCAGGTTGTAACAGATATTTTAATAAAAGATTGAAGTTCATCTGAGGCAAGACAGATGGCAACCTGAGAAAGGGCCGCCTTGGTTGTGGAACTGCCTTCCCAGGGAGAGTCACGTGTTCCTCTCTGTTGTATTTGGACAGTAGGTGAAGAGCTTCTTGTTTCATTGGCTGTTCCCTTAATGGACCCACCTTCCTGTTCACGTTTTTGATAGTTTTATGTACTTTTTCAAAATTGATTTTTAATTTTTAACTGGTTCTTTGCCTTGAGACCCCAAATTGGGTAGGAAGGCAGCATAAAAAATGAAACAATAGCCCCCCCCCCCCCCGGTCTGGGCCTCCCCTCCAGTGGCCTCCGATCCAAATGGCCACCTGGGAAACAAACTGCTTCTTGTTGAAATCTGTTGAGGCACCAGTCTTTTACTGAATATTGTTTTTTAGATAGGTTTTTAGATATATTTTAACTGTCAATTTGTATTGTGGATTTTATGATGGAACCCACCCTGAGCCTCCTTGTGGTAAGGGCGGGGTACAATTAGAATTAAATAAATAAAGCTATTTGCAAAAGTTGGGAATCACTTACCATATTATAGTCCATCTTTCAATGGAAAATTGTTCATGAGACAATTTACAATTTAAAAACAAAAATAAGCCTTACCAATTTAAAAAAATGTGCAGTTAAACTGATAAAAGCACGAAGTGTTCCCTCCCTTGTCCATGAAAAGACCAGGAACTGGGGAGAGGGAAGTGTGACAACATATTCTGCAGCTCCAGTGCCACCACAGAAAAGCTCTGCTCGTGGTAGATTCCCTGTTTAACTTGCATCTTCCACCTCTACGTGCCTTGTATTTAAATTATAGGTTATGACCACTGGGGATTAACAGAATTAGTTATGGATGGTTGATGTGTATCTTGCCATGTTATTCCAAAGACCTAAGGGGCACCTCTGGCTTCAGAAGAAGGAGGGGCAGAGTGATTTCCACCAGTTTCTTGTCTTGCTGCAGAGCCATTCATCGCACTTTATGCTGTTCCTTGATGGTTTGCTGACCCACAGAACAAAACGGGAGGGGTGTCATTGGGCTGCAGCAGTACTAAGAAAGGGAAAATGTCTCACTCTGCGAGGTCCAAACCATGAATAGATTTGGTTGGATACAAGCCAATGGGTTATATTCACTCCGTTCAGCTACACATAGAGGCTTCCTCTAGAGACTCTGCTGCCAGAAAAGGGCTCTTTGGGATGGAGGAAGGCTCTGCCCTTAGATGAGTAGAGTGGTAGGATTAAAGGTAGTCTCCTTTAACTGAGTTAATAAAAATAACTGGTTTTCTGTATGATAGTGTTCTTCTGTAAGCAATAGACACCCTTTTAACAAGGTGGACTTCCTTGAGTCCCACAGTGGTTAACTACTCCTGTGGTACTTGTTTGTAAAATGCTCCTATCAGAACTTTAACAGGGCAAGATCATGGTTCAAATGGATTTAGGGTAACATTGGGATAATTGGCTGGCATAGCTGAATGCTATAGCAGAAAGTATATCATGTAGAGAAGGAAGGAAGGAAGCAGATCATACAAAACTTTAAGGTCTCTAACGTACATCTTCAGCAGAACTAAATTACATCTGTACTTGCCTTGTGTTTAAATTATAGGTTGTGACCACCTGGGGATAGGGATCTGTCATCTTGTACTCTGTAAAGTGCACTCATGTTCTATATAAATAATGAATAGGATAGCCTTATTTCCCTAAAATAAAGATACTCAGAGAGAGACTCACTAATAAAGCTTAAGGCCAAGAGTGAAAAGAAAGGAGGCCTCGTATGAGTGAGAGCATTTCTTGAGGCCAGATATTACAGTGCTTTTAAGACCAACCCAGCAACTGAGATCCCAGAAGTGCATGCACTTTTTTCACCAACCTTTACCTGTTAACAGATACCTGTAATTTCTAAATTTTCTCCAAAGGCAACCCTGTATAGAGTGAATTACAAAAGTCTTACTTGGAACTTACCAAAACATGAATTATGGCACCAACAGATGTTATTTTACTATAGTAGTCAGGAACCCTAAATACAGATATATTAGTCAATGGTTGATCAATGATCTCTCACTGGTTACTCTAAAACGTCTTGTGTTATCGAAAAATATTGTTTCAGTTGTGCACAGGTGTATTTTATGAAAGCTAGCATTGCATGTAAAATGCTAATTTATTCAGTGTATATAACCACCATTTTGTAGCATATATTATACAGTTGGTCTCGCAACTTGGTCTGTGCCAGTATTTTTGCCAGCAACTCCTTTGATATATTCAGCTTTCAATTCTTCAATAGGTATTCATACTTGAGATTTTTTTTTCTTTTTGGCTATTGTGTGATATAGGATGCCAGACTAGATGGACCACTGGTCTGATCTAGCCAGAGCTCATTTTACCTTTGCTAGTTATGAAGCAAGGATACTTCTATAGCCCTTTAAAATTCTTTGTGGTTCTGTAATACTATTATTGGATCATGAATTACATTGGCAAGTATTCTGGCACAGATAACTTTTCCCTTCCAAAACCCAAGGAATTTGCCCATCATTTCATAGTTTCAGTGCCACCTGCCAAGTATTTCTTCTCTACAATGCCCTGTCACTTCCGATGAAGTTTAATTCATACTGTGTTTAATTCATACTCTCATTCAAATACAGTAAACTATAACACATCCCCCCCAACATTCAGCAATATCACTTGACACCCCTTTCCCTGAAAAGTCACTTAGAAATGTTTGGATTATGAGAGTTTTTGAGGCTGAAGTGAGCATTTATTTGTTGTTATTTACTTCATTTCTCATCTGTCTTTCTCACTGAGACTCAAACTGGATTGTAGAAGACAATGTAAAAATGTGATACATAGATTAAAATGGATCACACGAATTAAAGAACAATGAAATAGCAACAGTATAATACATTGCATAAACGGGATCTCTCAGAGAACAGTGATCTAAAACCTGGATTTCACAGTTAGGGACACTGAAGTTTGGGGTTGTAGCAGGAGGAACTCACACTGTGCCTTTCCATCTGTGAAAATTACTGCTGGATCCAAGCTAGTGTCTGTACATCATCTCTGTATGTATTTATTGCTGTGCTTTGTTAGAATATTAAGATATCAAAGCTGTGTCTCAGACAGTGCAGAAGGAGGTGTGTGTTTGGTCTTATTCTTGGCAGCCTTGCAAAGGTTCTATATGCTTGATGTATGTGGATATTTTGATCCTTTTTCCTGAATCCACTTCTCACAAATTTCTCCAGATTCTTTGGCCCCATTTTCTAGCTCCAAGTCAAAGCTCGGTGAGATTTGTCATATGTAGGACCTTGACATTCTTCTAAACAAGGGTGAGGCCTTCTGGTACAAGAGTATTTTGGTCAAAACATAGTTATAGTGCAGTGTGTGTTTTTTCTTTGCTCACCTACAACTATCTTTAGCTACCTTCGTTATGTTTGAAGATAGGATTGTTTTTAGTTGCAACCAAGGTATTTGCCAGTCTCCATAAAACAGACAGTAGGAAGTTACTGTTGGATCAAGTTACCAAAAAAAGAATATTGCAGACTCATATACGGGCACCTTCTTTAGCTTAAAGAAATGCTGTAGAATAATGTATTTATTACATTGTTATCCTGACCTTCCTGCAAGGAACTCAAGTTGGTGTACAAGGTCCCCTCCCCTACATTATCCTTGCAACCACCTGATGAGGCATATTCAGTTGAGAGAGAGTGATTGGCTCAAGGTCATCCAGGGACTTCATAGTGGAGGGTTGGATCCCATCAAAAGATTTCCATGTGGTGGGGGAGGGAACAGTTCCCTTTTCCTGTGACAGCCTTCCACCTGCCCCCTGACATGGCTTCCAGAGATCCCTCTTCCCTTGAAGAAGCATTTTAGGGAGTATTTGGAGGAGGGGGAAGTAATTTAGATGGGATCCAACCGAGGGTGAGAGTCTGAACCTGGGTCTCCAAGATTGTAATCCAGTACTAACCATTATGCCAAACTGGGTCTCTTTAACTGTTCTTCAAATTACAGTTATTCTTACATTATTCCTTTTAAACCTTTTAAACCTTGATTTTTTAAGATACACTTCGAAACAGTATTCTGAAAGTGGGGAAAATTCCATACATTAAACCAGGCAGGCTTCAGAACATTAAATCATGTATCATACTTTTGTATTTTCCAATTTCATGCCATTTATATTTGATCTTAAACAGATATATTTTTACTTTACTGTCCCAAGTACTTTCTCCACCACAATTTTCTTCACCTCTATAACTTCCTTGCATGCCCACTTCTGTCCAATAGTCAACAAACAGATTGTCTTTTTCTCATCAGACCTTTTACTTCCTTCACATAAGCTTAACTGTCTGTCAGTATTCTATTGTTAATACCTTGCTTCTGAGCAGTTACAATGTTTGAGCATTCTGTGACATCAAAGGAGCTCACCCAATGGCAGGGACTCAAAGGTATGTGACAGGCAGCAGACAATTATCTAAAATTTATTAAGCTCTCATGATTTATTTTACTACTCTATTTTACTACTATTTTACTACTGTGCATAAGTGTTGAAGAACTGACTTGAAAGCAGAGGTTCAGGTTGCATGCATACTCTAAAAAATAATACTATTTCTGTGCTTTACAGTTCTTGGCAAGAAGACAGATGAAGTGACTGCAGTTAAGAATAGGGCTGAAAGCCTTAAAAAAGAATATGACCATCTTATACGAGAACATACAAAATTAAAGGTAGGTGGCAGAGGCAGCTGATTTGCTTGAGCAGAACTTCCTGAACTTGAGAAGACTAGCAGGGTTGTCTGGTTTTATATCCATTTTGAGTGCATGTTCTTCTAAAACCTTTAGAGAGATTTTTGGCTTGAGTGCACTGTAAAACAATATAAAACTTTGTGTGGAAGATCACAAACCACTCCTATTTGGGGTTTCAGAAGAATCATAGTTGCTGCTGGGGCTGTGTAACAGTACTAGAGAATCTTCATCTTCCGATGCAAGTATTGATTTACTTGTTCGACCTTAATGACCAGAGATGGCATAAGAAATTTCAGGATGTGAGACAGAAAATCCACATAGGGCCTTCAGCCATTATGATAAAAATGTAATAGTAAACAATTGATTATGTCCTTTAACTTTGTATCCCTAATAGTGAACCGTGGCCCCCATCTGCGGGTATCTAAATCCATGCATCAGGACCACACTGACGCTGAACAGAAAAATCTGAAATCTTAAAAAAAGAAATATATATCTTGGGCTTTAAATTCCCCCCAAAATAAAATGGTGACTGATGTTGTCTGTGCAACACACCTATGTCTTCCTCCTGTATCAAGTGGTAGCAGAAAGCCTCAGGGCTGGGAGAGGGAGCCTCAGTGGGGTTCACCAATGGTGACTGGAGAGAAGAAGCCTTTGTCTCCCCCCCACACACACACTGAACCTGGGAGTGGGAGGGGGGGATCAGATGCAAGCCCGTCTGTCAACCTGCTGAGCTGGCAATGAGGGAGTTGGGAGGGGGTACAGGTGTCTTTGCCACCACCACCCAAGCCAGCAATGAAGGAGTCGGGGGGCTCAGCAGTCAGAGCCAGCAATCTCGCCTCCTAAAGCAGTAGCCAGGGAGTTGGGGGGGGTGTCAAAGAGGGTTCGCTGCCTCCCTGCTCAGCCAGCAACAAAGGAGTTGGGGGTGGGGGGGCACATAGGAATCCTTGCTCTTCTGCCTTGCTGAGCTACCAACCAGAGAGCCAGGTGGGCAGTCCTCACCACCACCCTGCTGACCTGGCAATGAGGGAGTAGCAATTGTGGTGGTGGTGGTGGTGGTGGTTGGGAGTTGTGCTGGGCGAAAGGGATTCCCCACCACCACCAGTACCGAGGGTCCCCACTTGTAATACACCTAGCTTCCTTTCTGAGATGGGCGCTTCACCCTGCCTCACAGTATGGCTGGTTCAGTCACTGTCCTTTGTCTTTATGCTGTCCTTTCTTTTTCTAAAGTATTTGGAAACATAGCTAGTTCGGTTTGGTTGAGTCAGTGGTGTTCTGTCAGGTGAGAGAGGAGTTCAGAATTCATGGTCAGGCTTTCGTTTCAGAGTTAATTCTGACAAGATCAATCGGCTGATAAATGTTATCTTTTTTACTATTGTGCGTGATGAATAGCTTTTTTCAAATTTATTTTCACTTTATTGATTGAACAGTGCTTAGTAATGGAGAAGCACTGCAGACTTCAAAAGTGTTAGTCTAAATACATTGGCTTTTTCTAGCAACTGCCAGCAAATCGGGCTTTGAAATCTTTTGAAACAGTGCTTCTTGGCTGAAACTGTAGGAATGATTTTATATTAAGCATGGATAATACATGGAAGTTACAAGAAGTGAATTCCTCAGAGTGTTGTTTCAAACAGATTGCTGCTAGATTTCTTCATACAGTGAGTTCAAAGAATATTAAGGGAAAGCAGTAGCATTCCTTGGAAGACTTGGGTACTCTTTTCACAACCTACCCCCATAGATTAAAGTATCTGCACACACAGATACAAGTACTGACCTTGGTTGTGCAGGCATCCTTATGGCCTGTAACAGGAATTAGTAATATTGTATTTGTTGGTGCTTTAGGTGTTTGTTACATAGTATTTTATGTGTCTGTTTTCACCTTGCATTTTGAAGTTGTCTTTAGAAATATTATGGGGGGAATGTAAAGGAGAGACATTAACTTAACCACTAGCCAGTAGCTTTGGGACAGGAACGGATTTTGGCCGGTGCAGCTTGTCATGAGAAAATCAGAGAAACTGCAGTTGCTGAAATTCCCTTTTCTGTAGGAGTGTAGGAGCCTGGTCTCTTTGGCATGTAGGTAGGTTAAGCTTCTCTTTGATAAATAATGAAGGTACATTTGATAGCTGTGCAAGTTCTTGAGCCCCCTTCCCCAACAAAAGCAAGAGTCAGATGCTGAAATGTAAGATGTGGGTGTTTCAGCTAGTGAAGTCAGTTTCTTATGCACCTAGTTCATGAGAAACATGGGGGCTGTGAAGGAAAGAAATCCTCCCTCAAACTTCCTGTATGAGGCTAAAATCGTAGCCTTCCTTTATTGGCCCAGCTGGAACCTCTTGTTTCCTTTTGGATCTTATAGTTGTTGCCTGGAGGTTTGACTGCTTGTCTGCTGAAATATTTCTGATGCCACTTAGCCATATCAAGTGTCTTTGAGGACTCATGGTGGGAGGGGATATCTCACATCCTCACTCCCTCGCTGCCTTCTTGCCTTTTCTTCTTCTTTGCATCCTCTGACAGTCCCTGTAGCTACTGCCTTTTCCTTCTCTCCTTCCCACCTGCCTACATTTTCTGTTCCCCTCCCCCATATTGTTTTCCCTTGTTCCCAATACTGCTCCTCCCCCCCACCAGCGTCTCTTTCCCACCCTCTGATCTTTTACTTCTTCCATCTCTCTCCTTCCCCTTCCCCACACTGACACTGACTGAAGCTTGGAATCATGGGTGGTTTGGGCTTGCCTAGCAACCCCCAAAATGGCCACTGACATCCCACAGTGTACTTTCACGAGATCTCAGTGACATACTTTCCTTAAAGAAGTAGACATTGCTTCTGTGATTTTTGGGTTTTTCTAACTTCCAATGTTCTGTGTGTGTGTGTGTGTGTTTTATATTTCGTATTTCTCTGCAAACTTGGGGATTTCCACACTCCGTAGCCTAGTTCAGAACTAGATATGATGATATCCTTATTTGTTCAGAAGGTCCCATAATATAGTTCCATCACAATATTTAAAGACCAAGACTCTGACTTTATAGCATTTAAAGGGGGTATTAGATGGATGACTTTTTCTTAACAATTTCTCCAGGATATGCATCCATTGTTGTTCTCCTGGCATTTTTGTAGACATTAAAACTATGGTCAGAGTCAAAATACTTCAGAACTAGCTTTGCTGATTTTCTTCTCACATGCCTGTCTCTCTTCATCTTTACAGGACCATTCAGGTGAAAAACATGATAAGAAAGCCCTGTAGCTACAGAAGGAAGACATTGGGGGGGGGGGGGTCATGCATCTTTTGGCATAAGCATACATTTTCTCTGGTTCTTTCCTTACATGCTACTGCAATATAAAACAAGGCTTATTTTTTAGAGAAAAATGTACTGCTTTTACAGATGAGCTCTATAGTATAGGTTGCCAAATATATTCTGTGTTGCAATGTAAATAGTAAGTTGTCTAGCAGAAACATCCTGTAAAAGTATCTTTTTGTAATCTTGCCTGGAAGATATTTTATAGTGGAAATTTCCATTTGAAGAGGCAGTTTCTTTTCATATTTTTCACTGAAACAAAGTCAGGGGATGTCATACTATCACCTATTGCTTTTAATGTGCAAGAAGATATCTAAGTTATATCAAGCTATGAAATGGTGGTGTGTTAGTCCACCATGTCATTAAAATGCCATTACATTGGTTATTAGGAAAACAAGCATATGAATTTTATCTCTGTGTGGCAATCAGTAAAAAGCATCACAATAGACTTGAACACACTTTGCATTTCATTACATAGTTCAGTATGCTTTAAAAGTCATGTCACTGCATGGTTTGTATTTTTCTCTCCCAGTCTATAATGTTTATTTCAATCCACAATATATTATGTAGTTTATACACACACACGAACTTGTGTACATTATGTGCCATCATATATTCTTCTGTGGATTGTACTTCTGAAAAATCTTTAACTTACAAATTGCTATTTTGTGGAAGCCAATTATGTAGTACCTCATACTAGGTGTCCCCCCCAAAATCTTCATTACTTGCAGTTGAAAGCTTAACTTTGTGTGTGTGTGTTGGTTCCAGTTTTTATTCTATTGAATTGTTAATAAAAGGATTGCCTGCTTTGTCCTTCTAAATATGTAACTGATACATCTAGTTCTTACAAAGCTGGGATTAATGATCAACAAAACCAACTGCATCTACTTTGGCCAGGGGTTTCCATTCATATGATGTTTGTGTAGAAGAAAAATAATTACATCAGAAATGTTACAAAAACTATTTGTGTGAAAACTAAAGTTTGCCAACCTCTAGGAAATTGTATGAAAAAGGAACTGATGCTTTTTGTAAAAATTCATTTTTACAATGAATTTTGAATGGCTACTGAATACAGATGCCAAAAGTGCCTTGAGTATCCACAATTTTATGTTCATATTTATCTGAATTTTTTGGGAAAAGATGTACATTGTGTCACTAAATTCCAGATTTCAGATTTTTATTTTGTTCTCTTTTTTTGAAAGAATGAAAAATTGGAATTGGATGCAGCTAAAACTTAATTCAGTTGAAACCCTATAACCAAATGTCTGATTTTGTTTCCAGTGTCATGTAACAGGTAATAAACTGGTCCTGCAGGGACCTAACCTTCTCAGAACTGTGCTGCTGATCTTTTCATGTCCAGTAAAGAAGCTGACAATTCAGTGGGGGGAAAGTGAATTTTTATGTCTCAGTTGTTTGATAAGGCTTAGAAACTAACCATGCAGTCCTAATCGGTGTTACACCCATCTAAACCAATGGATTCCAGTGGGCTTAGAAGGGCGTAGCTTTGTTTAGGATTGTACTGTGAGAATAATAAACCTACAGGGTTGGATCTAGTTAGCGTGTTCACTCAATCTCAACTAATTCCCTCCCCCCTTACTACAGCACCTGTCCCCCATGGCTTTTGTCCATACATGTCCCATAAGCCCCAGTATAGCTTTTTTGATGGTCAAAGATGACTCCATATGTGCTTTTTCACCAGCAGAAAGGCTAGTTGGGTCCAGCCCACAGCCCTGAAAAATGAACATGTTAAATTATATGATGACATCATGAGAGATGATGGGGCAGCATGCCTATTGTGTTCCTTCTGATGAAAACATATCCCAGTCCTTATGTATCCCAAGAACAGTTTTTTACTCTTCGGTCCTGTGGGATGGCAACCTAATATACCTTTTGAGTTTTTTAATTCTGTATTTTTGTTGTGTAACTAAGGGCCTATAATTATTATGTTGCTTTGTTCTCAGTAACTCTTACTGGATGGATGGAGAGGGATTGCCTGAAAGGCTTGGTAGAAGTGATCCATTACAGGCTGAAGCTGGGGATCCCTTAGAATTACAGCTCATCTCCAGACTACAGAGATAAGTCCCCCTGGAGAAAGTGGATGCTTTTGAGGGTGAACTCCAATTACATTGTTCCCCAGTGTGGTCCCTTGTCCTCCCCAGGATCCATCCCCGAATCTCCAGGGGTTTCCCAACCTGGAGTTGGCAACCCTACCGGCTGCTATGCACTCATTCCCAAGGTGCAGTCATGAGGTAGACTGTAGAAATACAGAAAACCATTACCACCCTTCCATTACCCTTCAGGAAACCTCCTTTCTGGTTGCCCTACCTAAGCATTTATTTCAGAAAGCTTCTCCCACACATTCCTGAAGCCCGAATGGCCTAAAGCTAAGGTATGAGGGTAGTTCTGGATTTCAAGCAATATTGTCATAATAAAAAATGACTATGAATTAAAGCTGGTACAATGCCCTACTGTCTCTTTAAAAACAGTCACATAACTGCCATTTTTAGTTTAAGCCATTGGTACTGGAAGTACGAGTTTTTTAGGAGTCAGCACAAATGTTCTGCCTGTCCACTATTCAGCAGCCATAACAAGAATTCCATAGGGTAAAATAAGTAAATCAAGGGCTGCATCAAGAACTTGTCAGAGCCATTGCTGAAGAGATTACTCATATTTGCTTATTAAAATGGGACTCTAGCTCTGCTCCTAATTAGTAATATTTATGAGGAAACAGATCCTATCTACCCTTGACTCCAAACAGATTTATTTACAAGCTCCACTGATTTTTTGCAGCAGAATTAACTTTCCTTATTGCTAGGTGTTCTATAGTACTGGTAATACAGTTTAGTAATAAGCTAAGCTACAGGACTTAAACTGAAGAAAGCTGGGAAAACCACTTGGCCATTCAGGTTTGACCTAGATCACATCCCTGATGAATATACAGTGAAGGTGAAGAATAGGTTTAAGGGACTAGATTTGATAGAGTGCCTGAAGAACTATGGATGGAGGTTGGTGACATTGTACAGGAGGCAGCAATCACCACCATCCCAAAGAAAAAGAAATGCAAGAAAGCAAAGTGGCTGTCTGATAAGGCTTTACAAATAGCAGAGGAAAGAAGGAAAGCGAAAGGCAAAGGTGAAAAGGAAAGATTTACCCAACTGAATGCAGATTTCCAGAGAACAGCAAGGAGAGATAAGGAGGCTTTCCTGAATGAACAATGCAAAGTAATAGAGGAAAACAATAGAATGGGAGGGACTAGAGATCTCTTCAAGAAACTTGGATAAATCAAGGGAACGTTCCATGCAAAGCTGGCCATGATCTAGGACAAAAAGGTAGGGACCTAACAGAAGCAGATTAGGAAAAGATGGCAAGAATACACAGAAGAACTGTACAAAAAGGACATCAATGTCCTTGACAACCATGATGGTGTAATCACTGACCTCAAGCCAGACATCCTGGAATCCAAAGTCAAATGGGCCTTAGAAAGCACTACTAACAACAAAGCTAGTGGAGGTGATGGTATCCCAGCTGAGCTGCTCAGAAATGGGGGAATGTCTGCATTCTGCATTTTCATAGCATCAGAAAGAGAAAGATGAGTTAGTGTTGGCTAGCAACTCCCAGTTAGCATTATTTTATGCAGGGGATGGCTTATAGTTGATGTACTTAAAAAAGAAAGAAAGAAAGGCACAGTAGCAGCCAAATGTTAAGAGCATTGTTAGCATTCCCTTCTTCCCCCTTAACCCAGATAGAGATTCACCTTTTTATTACATAAATGAAGTTGATAAACTTATTTTCTAATGGGACTTTTTTGTGGGTGGCCTGACCCTCAGTTTTAACCTAGCCAAATCAAAGAATAGTTTCTGGGAAACTGACAAAACTTTGAAGAACCCAAATGAACTAAACACACTAGGACTGAGCCCTGAGCCAAATGATTTGCACTTCGAATTGACAAATTCCAGGAATTTACACCAGCTGGTTTCTGAGTAGGTTCTGTATCAAATTGGTCAGCTTATTTAATGATTACTGATTTTGCTTCAGTGTGGCTTATATATGGTTTGTAGGTAGTTTTTGACTTGTTTATTTTATTTATTGGCAAATAGAAGGGGAAGTCGTGGAAGTAGTGACAGACTTCACGTTCCTGGGATCCAAGATCACTGCAGATGGTGACTGCAGCCATGAAATTAAAAGACGCCTGCTCCTTGGGAGGAAAGCGATGGTGAACCTAAACAGCATGATAAAAAGTAGAGACATCACCCTGCCAACAAAAGTCCATATGGTCAAACCAATGGTATTCCCAGTAGTAATGTATGGCTGTGAGAGTTGGACTATAAGGAAGGCCGAGCGCCAAAGAATAGATTCTTTTGAATTATGGTGCTGGACAAGACTCTTGAGAGTCCCTTGGACTGCAAGGACATCAAATTAGTCAATCCTAAAAGACATCAACCCTCACTGTTCCCTGGAAGGCCAGATACAGAAGCTGAAGCTCAAATACTTTGGCCACCAAATGAGAAGGGAGCATTCACTGGAGAAGACCCTGATGCTGGGAAAGATTGAAGGTCAAAGAAGAAGGGGACAGCAAAGGATGAGATGGCTAGATAGTGTTATCAATGCAACGAACATGAAATTAAGCAAACTTCAAAGCATGACGGAAGACAGGAGGGCCTGGCGTGATGTGGTCCATGAGGTTGTGAAGAGTCGGACTCAACTGTGCAACTGAACGACGACAACAAAGCTACAGGAAGAAGTCAAAAGGGATAAAGAAACCCCACCTAATATTTGCATAAAATTTTAACCTGCAATTTCTTTGAAATTTCTTATTTTAATTATGCCACCTCTGCTTTTCCCTGAAAATCCTCTTTTGGGAACATGGACACTGGGTGTCAGAAACATTCAGTAAAGTCAAAGGAAAAAACAGAAGCAGGATCTGGATCTGTTATTACAGCATCTGCTTTGCTGGCAGAAGGTTCCAGGTTCAATCCCTGGTATCTCCAGTTGCTGAATCTTGGGTAACATGTTGGAAAAGACCATTCTCTGCCTGGGATCCTGGAGACCTTCTGCTAGTCAGAGTGGTCAATACTGACTAAGGTGGACCAATGGTTAGATATAGTGTAAGGCCATCATGTTTTCTAAAGATGCCAAAGAAGGTGGTTTGTTCTAGCCAGATAATGTAGCCCATCAGCTCATCTTGCCCTTTTCAGCCATTTGTTTATGAAATAAGCATCATCTACTAGGAAACTACTGCGGTGGCTCAAGTGGTTAAGACGCTGAATTGCAGGCTATGGAAGGTCGGTAGTTCAGCAGTTCAAGACCCGGGTGCCGCATGGCGGAGTGAGCCCCCGTCTCTAGTTCCAGCTCCTGCCAACCTAGCAGTTCGAAAGCAAGAAATTGCAAGTAGATAAAAAGATGAGATGGTTAGACAGTGTCATAGATGCAACAAACATGAAGTTGAGCCAACTTCAGAGGACGGCGGAAGACAGGAAGGCCTGGCGTGATCTGGTCCATGGAGTCGCGAAGAGTCAGACTCGACTGTGCGACTGAACAACAACAACAACAAAATAGGTACCACTTCAGTGGGAAGGTAACAGCGTTCCATGCGCCTTGGTGTTTAGTCATGCCGGCCACATGACCACGGAAACGTCTTCGGACAGCGCTGGCTCTTCAGCTTTGAAACGGAGATGAGCACCGCAACCCTAGAGTCAGATTCTACTGGCTTTCAAGCAAGGGAACCCTTACCTTTACCTTTTACTAGGAAACCAAGTCCAAGGCATATTTATTAAGTTAACCATTCCTATTAGCTTAAACGGGAAAGGCTTAGGAGAAACCGTTTGTGATTGCATTCTGCGGAATAATGTACTATGTATTATTTTTGCATTCAGCTGTTCCTGTCACAAAAGATAGGTTTCTTCATCTCACTCTTCAACTCTGGTTTCTACTAAATACATGCACGGTCTGTAGTACAGATATTTGCTACTTTATATTTACTGTATATACAACACCGTCTTGTATGAGTACTTCACAGAACCACAGTGACCAAGCTAACAGGAACTATAGAAAAGAAGAAACCAAGGCATGCATGTATAGCGGCTGATTCATACATCATCAATATATCTAATTAGGAACATGACCCCATCTGTGGATTCTTAAATCTGGTGCTAGGAGCTATGGACAGACAAGATAGATCTTTTGACAAACCTGAGAAACAAATGCCCTCAGTGACTGTTGTTAGGCAACCATAACAGTACTGGCAGACTTTAAGCCTTGGTTTCTGTCAATAAATGGCAGGGTGAGGGGAAGAGGCCCATTCCAGAACTGTCTTAGCCTTCGAGGGG